GAATTTGCTGAAAATTTTAGTCAAATTGATCCATTCTGAACCGAGATTTTAGCGATTGAATATTGGGGCTAGCCTCAATCATCATTACTGAAGTCGGTAGGATAAAAAACATAGTCTCAATTATCCATTTTTTGATTTAATTGTGAATGGAAGTCGAACAGCAAATCAAAACCTAATCCAATAAACATCACAGGCTAGCGATGGCAGCAAGAGTTGATTTTGGTCTTGATAAGTTATTTTATGTATAATTAATAATTTAGATAACATTTCAGGCCTAAAGAAAGATCTACAATAGGCAGATTTAACTCTTGCATAATGTATGTTTAATCTTAATTAATGTATACACAACCATTTCACATTTCATCAGAAATAATGCGTTGAAACTTTTATTTTATAGAGCAGAACTCGAGAAACAAGGCAAGAACAGTGACGGTTCAGAACCCATGAAGATGTAAAACAACTCAGGAACAGATCATCCTTAAATTATAATTTCGACAAAATTTCTTTTTTCATTTGTTTACTTTGTTCCCTGTTGCGTTCTCACATTTTGCAGTCAGTTACAGTTTTAAAAACTTGTGCTGTGAAAGATTGAGATAGTAAACTTTAGCTTCAGATATGAGGACCAAAGTGTATAAATATACATTCTATAAGAATTGATACGACATTGAAAGGGGATAAAACACGATTAAGGAATCAAGTTGTCACACATTTCCCATAATTATTTAAAGGAAATTTTTTCGTAAAACAAAGTTTTGAACACTCAGTAGAGTATTGTATTGTTATTTTTTTTCGTTTTTTCATATTTTAAAACTCTTATCTCAAAATTGAATAAATTTTATTTTCTGTCAGGTTGAAGAAACTAGAAGTTGTTATTTTTTGTTCAGCTTTTATATAGTACAATCAGTATAATCATGTTAAATTATGCCAGAGTTTTATATAGTACTCTCCGTTGTCAGTGATGCAGGACGGAGGGGCTGACAAGGAAAGCTGTCTAGTCGTTCGGATGGGACGAAAAACCGAGGTCCCGTGTACACATTGGCGTGCACGTAAAAGATCCCTTGGCAGTTGGAATTCATTTCATTTTTATAGTACAGTCAGTGTTTAAAGATGGGGGTTAACACGTGCATGCTATATCATATCATAAGGTCTTTCATTGATTCAACTGGTGTGGTTTCGATTTGCTGGTTGTATGTGATAAGGAGTAGGGTCGTCTGTCCAACCCTCCCACTGCTAAAGATCCCTACGCGCAAGCAAATTATTGAAATAAAATTAAACCATGTGTTAGTCCCAAAATGACCTAGTTTGTGTCATGGAGGTTAAACCCCATCTCTCTCTCTCTTTCTCACTCTCCGTGTTAAGAGAGGCATTATGCCAGATTTTAAGGTACAGAAATATGAATATATTGAAAATTTTAGTCAAATTAAATTATTCTGGGTTAAAGGAGCCAAATCACTTTTCTTTGGCACCTAAAAATGGACACAAATGGGTTGCAACACATATAATAGAGAAATGGTGTGTTGCGTCATCTTGATACAAACTAGGTCACCCTTGCCTCAGCTTGATACAAAATAAGGTCACCCAACCCCTCTAAGTCAGTATAACAGGCCTGCAAGAGAGAATCTAAAACGTTAAAATTGTGTTGCAAGCCGCTACACACAGCTGCCCTAATCATACACAGAGATCCGGTGGTGAGCCCCCCTCCCTCCCCCAAAATGATTAATCTAATAAATGAAATGATTTGACACAAAAATTGGCCAGCAGCAGATCATATAAATTTATTCTAAAAATTTAATTATATATTACTTATTGTTAAAGGCATTTGTCTGCCAAACAAATTGATAAGAACTCGTAAAGGATGACAGGTGGGTGACGCCAATCGAGAGAATTTGGCCTGAACAGTGGCAATTCTGGCTTGTTCAAGTTTTCAAAGGATATTTTACATGCCCTACTAGACATATTTTACTGACTCACTGGTAGGAACTAGGTTGTAATGTAATCAACCAATGTTGACAGAGAAAGTATCTCAAGAGTGATTTTCCCTTGTCAGTGATGCAGGTTTGGGGCTCTGATAAGGAGAGATAGAGAGAAATGGGGTTTAACGTCCACTCGACACAAACTAGGTCATTTCGGGACTAACACATGGTTCAATTTTATTTCAATAATTCGCTTGCGCGTAGAGGAAACCGGATGACCCTGAGAAAACCCACAAGTTGGACATGCGACCCTACTCCTTGTCACATACAACCGGGGAATCGAAACCCTGCCAGTTGACTCAATGACAGACCGTATGATATTGCACGCATGTGTTAACCATTCGGCCATTTGTACATATCATCCTCAATAGTAGGCTTTATCTCGCCTTAACTAGCTAGATGTTATAAAACTCGCTGTCGGCGTTGCTTCAGGAACATATTGCCATGCACAGAAAAGAACCCTTGACATATGTAACTGTAGTAGATAGACTGCTGTTCGGACAGAATTTTGTCTGTCTTCATTAGCCCGGTTGGTTCAGGTACGATGTAAGATGTACAACTCCATCTTGGTTCTCGTGGGATTGGAGCCAGAAAGAGTCTAACCGAAAGTCTGGTGGTGGGGAGGGGGGTAGAAATTTGTTTCTAGTCTCCAACAATCAACTCGTTTATTACACACAATAATAATTTATTGTCTAATAATCATATTAATACATCACAGCATTAAATTATACCTTCGTCAATTATAAATATGTTCTCATCACTATGACAACCATACCATTGTCAATAATATATTGTCATCTCTATGACAACTATACTATTGTCAATTATAAATATGTTCTGATCACCATGACAACCATACGAATATCAATTATAAATATATTCTCATCACTATAACAATGATACCATTGTCAACAATAATATACAAATATAAATTATTCTCATCATGATACAACCATACACCTGTCAATCATAAAAATATTCTCATCACCATGACAACCATACCACTGTCAGTTTTAAATATATTCTCATCACAACAACCATACTATTGTCAATCATAAATATTTTCTAATCGCCACGACAACCATACTATTGTCAATTATAAATATATTCTCATCTCCATGACAACCAGACAATTATCAAATATAAATATATTATTTTCATGGCAACCATATCACTATCAAATATAAATATATTATCATCACCATGGCAACCATACCATTGTCAATTATAAATATATTATCATGGTATGGCAACCATACCAATTTTAATTATATATATATTATTACCATGGCAACCAAACCATTGTTAATTATAAATATATTATCATCACCATGGCAACCATACCATTTTTAACTATAAATTGTTAGACTATAAACAAAAACATTATCAGATCATCAAGAGCAGCCCAAGCTTTATTAATTGACAATACATTTTTAAAACCTGGGAGAATTTGGCTATTTTGTGACTTAAAAGGTTCATTTGTTAACACTCTTTAATTAAAATTATAAAAGGGACGCATTTAAGGCATCTTAGTCGTCACCTGGTCATATACTATTCAAAAAAAGTAGGGGATATTTGATTTTGGGGGCATAATACTAAAATATGCAAATAACTAAGAAAAAAGTCACTATAGAACCTAACAGAAGAAACATTTCCAGTTACATGTGACGCCCAAACGCACCAATAGCTACCGCATGGAATGCAGGTGATGCTTGGGATCATCATGGGGGTCCAACCCAAGATTTGCACGACTCTGACTTTGAATGTTACAGTCATTGTGGCATTGAATTCCAGAGTGGAAACATCAGTTTAATTGTTTTAGTGACCAGAAAACAAATTTTGATATGCGTCGGCTTACCCAAAATGAAAGGTTACGTGCCCTTGGCATGCTACAGATCGGCACAACACAGGCGGTTGTGGCGCGGACGATGAATGTTTCTCAGTCTGTCATAAGCAGGCTATGGTCCAGATACCGTGATACACAATCTGTACAGGACAGACCACGCTCAGGTCGACCAAGGGCGACAACTCAAGCCCAGGATCGATTTATCCGTACCTTGGCCTTGAGAAATCGTGTCATCACAGCAAATCAGATCAGCGCTCGTCTTCAAACAGACACTGGTGTGAGAGTGAGTGGCCAGACGATTCGGAATCGACTGCATAGGGGTCACCTTCGCGCCCGACGTCCTCGCGTGATCCCTTGTTTGAGAGATCATCACATTCAGGCAAGACGTAGTTGGTGTAGGGATCGTCAACACTGGGATAATCGACGCTGGAGCAATGTGATGTTTTCAGGTGAGTCAAGGTTCACTGTTGATTTTTTGGACAGACGTAGGAGGGTGTGGCGTCGTCGAAACGAGCGCTTCCAAGACGTTAACGTCATCAGACATGATCGATTTGGGGGTGGTTCTGTTATGGTGTGGGGAGGCATCACTGTTGCTGGAAGAACGGCTTTACATGTTGTTGCAGGGCGTGTTACAGGCCAGTACTACCGGGACAACATCTTGGCAGTCCATGTTGTGCCGTTCGCACAACGTCATGGCCGCCGTTTCATCTTCCAGGATGACAACGCAAGATGTCACAGGGCCAGGATCGTTACAGGTTACCTCCAACAACAGAACATCACCACATTACCTTGGCCAGCACTGAGTCCCGACCTCTCCCCCATCGAGCATGTCTGGGACATGCTTGGACAGCGGTTACGTCAACGTCAACAACGTCCTGCCAATGTCCAAGAACTTGCTGCTGCGTTGCAACAGGAATGGGACAATCTGGACCAAAATGACCTTAGACGTCTCATTAGGAGTATGCCACATCGGATCAATGCTTGTTTGGCAAACAGAGGAGGATTTACCCGTTACTGACTTGGTTGTGATGCTGTGGTAACTTTGCTGTTTGACCCCGGGTATCATTTTACCCTTATAATGGTCAGTCTGTGCCTTACTAAGTCTAACGATCATTTGGAATAAATCGATGAATGTGAACTTCATTTCATTTTGTCATTTGTTTCTTCGTCAGTTTCATTAGGTGACTTTAATAACACTTAAAAATCAAATATCCCCTACTTTTTTTGAATAGTATATATAATGTAGCACGACTTACCATCCCTGTTTTAAAAAAAAAATAAACCAAAGAAAACCCCCATTTACTTGGAAATGGTAAGATTAGGGTGGACATTAGAGAACAGTACTACTGTATAATGAATGAATGATATGTGATTTAATGGCACCTCAGCATCAATCGGGCTATATCGACTGTATATAAAATAGTGTTAGCAGTATGTATACAATGGCACATCAGCATCAACCAGGTTATATCGACTGTATATAAAATAGTGTTAGCAGTATGCATACATCAGTATCAACCGGGTTACATCTACCAGGGCTCACAATGTCAGTCGCCAAAGTCACAATCTGTGATAACAATATGAAAGTGGCAATCCAAATTTGATTTTGGCGATAATTTTTTGTGGTACTGACGATTTTTTTGTTGAGAACTGGCGGAAAAAAATCTTAAAATTCTAATGATATTTATCTTGGATTATTTACTGTAAATATATAAAACAGTGTTAGCAGTATGTATAAAATGAAAGTACTAACATATGATGATTAATAACTGAACACATAATTAATGGTTGCTATTAAAATCAGACATTCCATTTATAAAAATATAAGCTAGACAAAATAAAGCAATAATTGAATAGTTTTTTATATATCTATTACTTAATTAGGTTGTTAAATCACTTTTATATAATCATAGGAATTAGTCTAGCACTTAAAAAAACATTCATGTAAAAATTGGAAAAAAGTACTACTTGCCGACAGTATCTAGAATTTGTATCATTTCTTTTCACTGGATAACGAAGTCTACACAATAAAAGAGAGGGTTGGCTCAATTGTCAAGGTCCGTGGTTAAACAGATAAGGATAATGATGCCTGGTTGAGTGAGACTTTCAAACCTGCACACGTAATAATAACACCGTAAAAATCAATGTTGGATTTAAAAAGAAAATGATATATTTGTCAATTTCGCAACTGACACAAGTGAAGTATATGATTTAGGATTATTTTTTAACAAGGAACGAGACTGTGTGTATAGATGTCATGTATTTTAAGGATTTATTTTAACATATGACTTAAAAAAATGCAATTCTTGATTTAAAGTTGACATCACATCCAGTTCTCCTCAGGTTTCAGTTTGACCATTTATTATAAAAAAAAAAAAAACATGGGAAGTTAAAGGTGATATTACATTCAGTTTTCCTCAGGTTTGATTGTCAAAACTTGACACATTAAAGCTGTTGTCATGTCTGGTGTTTCATGTACGGCATCTTGTATAGACAGAAAACTACGGCGTGATGAATCCTATCACGAACAGTAAGGCTATCCATGATTGTATATTCCATGTTGAATCATATTATGTAAAAGAAACAAGACAATCTGACTATATTCCATCAATCTGATTAAAACACAGATTCTATTTCGTTTCGTTTTTTTATAGTTCAAAATTTCCTTTTATTTGTCTTTACTACACTAGAACCTGGAAGAGTTGTTATATAACCTGCATTCTGGATGGTGTGAGGGATTAGCAAATTAAACCATTTGTTACGGCGACTTCTTGGCGTTTGATGCACGGAACTGTGGCTCAGCCACTAGAAACGTCAAAGCTGATTGATTAATCAATTATCTGATGTCATAGGTTAAAAAAACGTTCGTACGACCTCTGCTGCGACCTTTTACTACAACCGGTCAGATCTTTATGTAGTGAAGGCCATCGATATATAAAAAAAAAGAAACGAAATATAGATCTGTATTGTAATCGGATTGATGTTCTATTTGGTATCCTATTTTGTAAATAAACGACAAACAATGCGATCTACGACAATGTTCCATCTTGAACCATATTCTGTTTATATTGTCTTAAAGCCTGGAGTAAAACTTTTTTAGTTTCGTCGATGGTATTGGAATAAATTCTCAGATCTTCTTCTTTGGCTTGTAACGTACTGTGTAACGCGGACTTTAGGGCTTCATTTTCATCTTTCTGAATCTCCAGACTATAAAAGAAAAGTTTTTTTTTTATTGATAAAGAAATTAAGTGTGATTACTTTCAAGAATGATAAATGTATCTTTATTATGATATAGAAGAGAGAGAGACCACAGCCGATTACATGAAATAAAAACTGTAAAATAAGTAATGTAATTTTTGTACATATTTTAAATATTTTTAAGAACTGTTCCCCTGAAAACATCAGTTTAAACTTTGTGTAGGTGTTTATTAGGCGAATACCTTGATGGAGAGAGACAGATAAATGGGGTTACGTCCACTCAACATAACCAGATCATTTCAAGACTAACATATAGTTCAATTTCATTTCAATAATTCGCTTGCGCGTAGGGGTCTTTAGCAATGGGGGGAAACCGGAGGACCTGGAGAAAACCCACAAGGGTGGACAGGCAAACCTACTCCTTGTTACATGCAACCAGGGAATCTAAACCAGTTGTAGTGACTTTTGACCCTATGGCATCAGACATTTGATTAAACAATCAGCGATGATGTTTCTAGTAGGATACCCACAGTTCCAAGAACTCGCTGCAACAGACCGTTTCATTGGCTAATCCCTCATATCAACCAGAACGCGGATTATATAACAACTCTTCAAAATCCTAGTGTAGTAAAGACAAGTAAAACGAAATTTTGAACCATAAAAAACTAAATGAAATCTGTTTTAATCAGATTGTGAAGTTGCATAAAGGTCCATTGTGCAACAAAACTTGGGTCAATAGATTCCTGCAGTACCAATATATTACATAATGCCTAACCATTGACCTGTAAACCACACATATTGGGCCTTTAATTTGTGTAACAACATCTTCTTTCTACTTACCATGTTTGAATTTCTTCTAAAGTTTGAACGTCTGTTTCATCATCTAGAGATTTATAAATAGGATCCCCTCCTATTCTACCTGATGATAGACCTTTTTTACGGGCACTTGTATCTGTAAACACACAAACAGGTAAATATTTGTAATAAAATTTAAAACCAATCCGAAGAGAAAGTGAATTGAAATGAAATGTGGTTTAATGTCCTACTGTTGTGCTCCAGCTGGGCTAATGAAAATGGGAATACGCTATACAATGTACTATGAGAGACATTCTGCCCGGACAGCAGCACTGTGGCCTACTCTTATATTGAATTCCAACTAGCAAGTGATCTTTTATGTGCATGCCAATGAGTAGGCCTACATGTGACATTGTTTTTTTTACTAGACAGGTGTCCTTGTCAGGCCCTCCGTCCTGCACTACTGTAAAGCGGAAATCACACTAGAAAATCCCAATGAACTTTCTCGGCCAATACCTGGAGCGAACCCGCAGCGTCCAGGCTAGCGAGCTCTGATGACAGTATGATATAGAGAGAGAGAAATGGGGTTTAACGTCCACTGGACACAAACTAAGTCATTTCAGGACTAACATGTGTGGCTCAATTTTCTTTCAATAATTCGTTTGCGCGTAGGAGTCTTTAGCAGTGGTAGGAAACTGGAGAACCTGGAGAAAACCCACGAGATTGGACAGGTGAACAACCCTGCTAACCATTCGGCCATCTAACCCCGGTAACCATTCGGCCATCTAACCCCGGTAACCATTCGGCCATCTAACCCCGCTAACCATTCGGCCATCTACCCCCCCATGAGTAATAATAATATTAAGCATATAACTTACTGCCTTTAGTAAATTTATTCTGATCAACCTTGTATTTAGCAAGTTGTTTTTCTAACAGGGCGTTATTTCTACGTTGATTTATTAACTCAGTTTGACTTTCATTATGTTTTAATACAACTTCTTCAATTCTGTAAATAATATATAAATATAATAATATCTTGTTATGTTTCAACCTAACTTCTTCAATTCTGTAAATTTTACATTTACACTTAGACGTTAAACGTCATCAGCTTTTGTGAAGTATGACGTGAAGCGCACGTCATAATAGTGTGTCCGACGGATAGCAGCCTCCATAGCTGTAAGTTCACAACATTTAGCTAAACCTTGTTTAATTCCTATGATCCAGTCCATAATTTTTCTCTGAATCGTGATTTTCACGAACTAAATCCAGAGAGAAGACTTTCATGTAGACAAAATACGAAGAGGCTGAGACAAATCATTTGCGTACTTTACTAATCTCATCTGTAACAATCTATCTGTTATGAAAGCCTATCAAGATCATGGACCAAGTTTGTGTTTCCACCTACTAAGTGTAACTGTAAGTGTGAATTTAGCGAAACGTCATAATGTACAGAATTTAACGAATCATTTAGAAATTGGTCAACTAATAAATCACTTTAAATAAAGTTCTAATGTCGTTTTTCTTTAAATCTGATAGACATCATGGCATGGACCTTATAATACATGGACTGGTAACAGCTTAATAACAGGAATTTGAGACGCCTTATCGGAAGTTATTAACGAGTTATGTCCCTCAGCAGCGTCTGTGGTAACCTGGCATGTGTACTGCTCCATTATAAATCCATGTATTATAAGGTCCATGATCATGGCAAAGAATTTAATGAATCTTTTATCCATTTTGAATAAAGATATAGAGATAGATATATATATATATATACAGTACCGTTTTTGTAATATTTTGACTAGTTCTGCTAGTTTTTCTTTCTCCACGTCTGCCGTTTGCATCAATATTTTATATTCCTGGCACTGATACTGTAACGCTCCTATCTCTTGATTCGATGAAACATGGCTGGAAATTACAAAAACTATGTGTTAAAAATAAACATCATGTTTTAATCAAGTACATAATGAACAAAAACAAGGGAATGCAGGCACCTTTTTCTATTTTTCTCATTTTCTCGTATCTAGTGATAGCCAATTTCTATTTTGAATTGTCAGATATCCTCTCATTATCTCAGATAACAACTTTTCATCTTCAATAGAATTCGCTCGTGTATCTGTTATCGCTCGTTACTTCAGTCAGTTATATAGAAGGATAACTCATGTTTTCCTTTTGAGTTCGTCACTTCATTTTCTTGAAAGCTTTATAACGCATCTATCGTAGCAATGATCTCTGTGTTAAAATTATATTTGGAACGTGTTTAACCAGTTCTATCACATAGGTGATAATAACCGACACCAATATTGTACTTTAAAACCAGTGAAGTGAAGTATAAAACCTAGAATATCCTGTGAGTGAAGTATAAATTATATTACCTCGCAGACGGTGGTCGGACTGATGATCGCGATGGTAACGATCTGGCACTTTCAGCTCGACCAGCTACAGTTGGAGGACGTTCGTCACGTCTACAATATAAATACAAAGAATAATTATCATGAATTAAGGGGCAGTGAAAATGGAGGTTATAGGGAAATGCTGGAAGTCAAAAAGCACAAATTTAGTGTTTCACTGTAAAAGCCATCATGTTTTATTGGGGTGATTAAATAATATTTTAAGGGAAAAGTAATTGACAAACTACTTAAATTTTAACTTAATCATCATGCAAGCTCTTGTGGATATAAAAAAGTCAGATACGAAATTTCAAGGGATGAAAATTGTGAACTCCAAATCTTTCTATACGAAATCGTGGAATGAGTGTTTGGGGGTTCAAATGAATATTACAGACTGTGGGTGGGGCATGTTTATATTACAGTTTGCAGGTGGGACATGTTCTACAGACTGCCGTGAAATAAAAGTGAAGTTTACCTTGATCCAGTACCAGGTGGCGTGACTGATTGTAAGACTAGACTGTCGTGATTAGTGGTCGTGAATTGTCGCGACATATTTGAAATGTTTGATCTACCCTCATCTTGTATCTTCTGTAGATGCTGAAAGAGGAAATTATCACATTGAAGGAGAAAGGAATGTAGTTTATCTTCTTGTCATCACAAAATCTCTGTCATTTTGAAACTGAAGCACAATATTTATGGTCATGTGTGCGAAATTAGGAAGGAGAATTTTGTCGACTCTCCATCAAAACCCATGCCTGAATTTGAACCCTGTCCAGTTCACACTCAGAGAAGAAATAGGGTTTAATGTCCACTCCACATAAACTAGATCATTTCTATATTAAATTATGGTAATTATTTTGTTTTATAAATAATTCGCTTGTGAGCAGGTGTTTTTCAGCTATCGGAGGAAGACGACCCGGTTCCATGTCACTGACACATTATGCAGGTGTTCTTCAGCTATCGGAGGAAGACGACCCGGTTCCATGTCACTGACACATTATGCAGGTGTTCTTCAGCTATCGGAGGAAGACAATCCTGTTCCATGTCACTGGCGCGATATGCAGGTGTTTTTAGTAATTAGCATTGGGATTAAACTAGAGAACCCAGCTAAAAGCTATGAAGTAAGGCAAACAACTTTCACGTAATGTTATCTATATTTCGAAAGCTCCTAAAGATGACTAAAATCACCCAAAAACCTTGGACAACCATCCTTTGCAGAGGTCTGTAGCAGTGTCTTTAGTGAGAGTGGGGGGGGCTAGAATACCCAGACAAAACCCAACATCTTGTTGCCGTATCTATGTTCGAAGAGTGCCTAGAGATGACGAATGTCACAATAAACTTATTGTTTGTTACCTTTAGCTGTGTCATTGGGGGGGGGGGGGACTAGAAAACCCAGATAAAACCCAACATCTTGTTACCATATCTTTAGATAAACCTGTTAATGTTACCTGTAGTTTCAAAGAGTGCCAACAGAAGACGAACTCACAATACAATAAACTTGTGATTGTTACCTGTAGTTTCAAAAAGTGCCAATAGAAGACGAAGGTCACAATAAACTTGTTAATGTTACCTGCGAATAGAAGACCAACGTCACAATAAACCTGTTATTGTTACCTGTAGTTTTAAAGAATTTATTTCTTCCTCTAATCTATGGACTTTAAATTCTTTTTCTGCGACGATAGATTTAAGTTGTTCTACAATATTATGATCTTGTTGAGATTTGATTGACAGTTCATTCAACATATCTTGTTGATTGAGATTATTCTGTTTCTGATGTATGTTGGACGTGTCTAACATTTCCTTCAACTGAGTCTGTTGTCTCTGTAAATAAATAAAACAAAATAACATGAAATGGGGTTTAACGTCCTACTTTTCTGCTGCTGACGAGTTGATAAAGACGGGCAGTGTCCTATACAGTGTCCTATGAGAGACATTTTTCCAGGACAGCACCGCTAAGATGCCTAAACTTTTGTCTTCCAACTTAAAGCTTCTTCTACTTCACAACAAAGCAGGGCCCAAATGACTAGATTGTATTCCTTGCCACGCCCCCTGTCCTGGATCACTGACAAGAAGAATCACACTGAAAAATCTGCTAATACTGGGAGTTAACCAGTGAGCAAGTGCCTTACTCACAAAGAAAACCCATGAGGTTGGACAGGCATCCTACTCCTTGTCACATACAGCGCCTTACTTACAACCCCTTCCACCAGACCTATATATAAAATCATTTATAAATTAGTGAAAGTAATTGAGAGAGAGAGAGAGAGAGAGAGAGAGAGAGAGAGAGAGAAATGGGTTAAAGGTCTACTGGACACAAACTATGTCATTGCTGGACTAACATATGGTTCAATTTTATTTAAATAATTCGCTTGCGCGTAGTGGTCCTTTAACAGTGGAAGGAAACAGGAGGACCCAGATAAAACCCACGAGGTTGGACAGACGACTCTACTCCTTGTCATATACAACCGGGGACTCGAAACCACGCCAGTTGACTCAATGACAGACCTTATGATACAACACGCTCGCACTAACCATTTGGCCATCCAACCTCCCAATACACAGTTCAACAACCCAATATTTCTATCTACGATAATAAATAAAGCATGTTTGACTCACCATTAAAGCTTGAATTAATTCATCATCATTTTTACCCTTTTCTAATAAAGTTGCCATTTGTTGTTTTATAGACTTCATTTCCGTGGCTAAAACTTTATTTCTAAAACAAAACCACAATATTATAATAAATAATCAATCATGGAAGAATGTCACTGATATTTCTTGATTAATAAGCCAGTTATAGTATGGATGTAGTATAGTTTAATTTAGAATAAAATAAGAATTTAACGTCCTACTTTTCTGCACCAACCCAGCTAATAGACGCAGATACGTCCAGACAACATCAGGGGATGATAACATGATGCCACTGTCTAAACAGGTCAAACAGGATCTGATTTTTTCAGTAACCTTGTCCTACACATGGCAAATACTGAACAACTATTTCAATCGAAAATGAAATCGAAACTGGGACCATAACCTTACTCACTGCAGCACAAACAGAGAGAGAGAAAAATGGGGCTTAGCTTCCACTCGACACAAACTAGGTTTGGGACTAACATATAGTTTAATTCTATTTCAGGTGACCCTACTTCTTGTCACCTACCACCCCCCACCCACCCGCAGCACAAAGCTAACCCAACCAAAATATCTTTAATCTGGTAAAGTAGAATATATTGTCCAAATTGTATTTTATAGCCAGACAGAAATCTCATCCATTACACAGAAGATCGGAAGAGTGGTAGAGCTAAATATCTTTAATGTGGAAAAACAGAAACCTACCTTGCCTTAGCAGCTTCCATTTTTGATTTTAAAGCAGTGTGGTCATTTTCTAGAGCTTTGAATTCATTCACCAGTTTCTGTGACAAAATAAGTCATCATTTCATTCTTGATAAATACAATAAAAATACAATAAGTCGTCCAATCGGATTAAAATACAGATCAATATTTCGTTTCGTTTTTTTTATACTTTCCATGTATGCCTGTTCACTGATCTCTTTTCATACAATCAGATTAAAATACAGATCTATATTTTGTTTCGATTTTTCATACTTTTGATGGCCTACACTACATGAAGATCTGACCGGCTTTTGACCCTATGACATCACACATTTGATTAACCAATCAGCGTTGATGTTTCTAGTGGGTTGCCCACAGTTCCGTGCAAAACCGGTCTAAAGCTCGCCGTAAAAGATCGTTTCATTGGCTAATCCCTCACATCATCCAGAACACGTCAATGATAAAATCTCTTCCAGATCCTAGTGTAGTAAAGACAAGTAATACAAAATTTTGAACTATAAAAAACAAAATGAAATAGGATCTGTGTTTTAATCAGATTGTAAGTTGTCATTTCATTGGTGGGTTTTTCCTTTTGAACAATAATAGGGATACCATAGTATTTATCCATACTAACAGACTCTATGACAGACCTTATAATTTCACACGCACGTGTTTACCCACTAACCCCGGCCCAGACACACAAACAACATAGGCATTGTAAGCAATTAACAACAAACGTATATATCAAATCAAGGGAATAAATCAAGTTATTTATTTAATAGCCATACCTCTTGGGCCTCTTTCTTTTCTTTATCATATTTCCTCAATTCTTCACGATATTTATCATCTTGGTTACGACGACGTGTGGACGACGTTGTTCTTCCCATCAGTTCATTCTCAAGGTCATCTTCATCTCGAGATTTAGAAGGTGACACCTGCTGCTTTAACTCTTCTACCTGTAATTAGTAGACGAAATACAATTAATCAACCCGTCTACCTGCAATTAACAAACCCTTTACCTGTAACAAACCATTCTACCTGTAACAAACCCTTCTACCTGTAACCAACCATTCTACCTGTAACTAACCCTTTTACCTGTAACAAACCCTTCTACCTGTAACAAACCCATCTACCTGTAACAAACTCATCTACCTGTAACAACCCCTTCTATCTGTAACAAACCCTTCTACCTATAACAAACTCTTTACCTGTAACAAACCCATCTACCTGTAACTAACAAACCCATCTACCTGTAACAAACCCATCTACCTGTAACAAACCCTTCTACCTATAACAAACTCTTTTACCTGTATGAAACCCCTTCTACCTGTAACAACCTCTTCTACCTGTAACAAACCCTTCTATCTGTAACAAACCCTTCTACCTGTAACTAACTATCCAATTTGTATTAGCAGGTAATAAAGTTTATAATCACCTTTTTCTGTAGTAAAAGAATTTGTTGAGCTCGACCTCGCCAGTTTGTATTACCAGACAATAAACTCTGTATATTTACATTCTCTCCAACTTCTTGATTTAAAACCTGGAATAAATCAAAACATAAAAATCAACATGAGCTGGGGATTGTCTACCCATTAAATATGTAAGTGAAGGGTTCAATCTGGGTGTTAGTCATGAAAGTTTCCCAAGCATTTTCCAGGGTGGTTCCCCCAGGGATGCAGGAAGTTTTGATGGTAACAAAAATCGAGCAATTAAAAGTACACTTTGGAGTGCACGTAAAACAAGTCTTGACAGTTGGTGTCCTGGCAAAATTTCCCTAATAGCCCATCTTCATTAGCCCAGTAGGAGCAGAATAGTAGGAAGTTAAACTAGATTTTATTTCTTTTCATTTATTGCTCGAGGGCAAATAAACTGGGAGAAAACTCTTGTGAACAATTTGTTTGACGAGGCCCCCTTGATAATAAATATTTGGTTTTTTTTTATATAAATAAGAATTTACCTTGTGCGCTATCTTCAGTTCTTGTTTTAACTGTGACGACTGGTTTCTGAATTCAGCAACTTTTGATTCCGTTTGTTTTAACTTATCTTGTAACGCTTTTACGTCTAACTCAGCTTGTTCCTATAGTAATAGATACATGATAATATTACTTAGTATCATTTTAAATTGGACAGTCAATGAATCCAAAATTACAAAATAAAGAAAGTGTATTTACCCGATCATTATCTGTATAAATAGATCGAAATGTACTCGCTGAACCAAATGTATTCCTGGCATCTTCTGGAATCGCTGAAATCTATAATAACAAAAACGGTAGTAGTACATGGACCAGGAACTCAGTATGACACCTTCACATGTGGTCATCTTGGAATTGTGTGGACATATATATATAAACAAATTTGTCTAAGGAACAAACATGCCAAGTTTAATGACAATCATACTTGAATTGAAAGAGCCTTGACTATTCTTCGAAGGACGTCGCTCCCAAGTAAAAGAAAGAACCAGATAAGCAGTGCTTAGGGATAAGTTATAGGTCCAAAAATTCAGTTTATAATAGTAATATGGCAATATCTCTCTCATCCAGTTTGTGTCGAGTGGATGTTAAAAACCCCATTTCTATCTCCCATCCGGAAAGTTAACACATAGATATTTAAGCCCAGTGAGTTTGGGAAAGAGAGAGAGAGAAATGGGGTTTAATATCCATTCAACACAAAGTAGGTTATTCTAGGACTAACATGGTAATCAATAAAATGAAATGGGGTTTAACGTCCTACTGTTCTGCTCTGACTAGACTAATGAAGACGGGCATACGCCTTGCAGTGTGCTATGAGGGAAATTTTGCCCGAACAGCAGCACTACGGCCTACTCTTATGTCGAATTCCAATTTCCACACGGGACCTTGGTTTTTGGCCCATCTAAACAACTATACATTGTCCCTTGCCAGGCACTCCGTCTTGCACTATTGACAAAGGGAAACCACACTGGAAAATCCTGACAAACTTTCTTGGCCAACGCAGGGATTGAACACGGGATCTCCGGTTAGCAAGCCAACGTCCTGCTCACTGAGTCATCGTGCCTCCCCAACATATGGTACACTTTTAATTAAATTGTGCATAGAAAACCGGCAGGCACAGAGAAACTGCACGAAGTTAGGAAGGCGACTCTCCTCCTCGTTACCTACAAGAATTAAATCAAACCACGCCTCTTTGGTCAAAGGTCACGAGATGTAAACAAGGCTAGCTCTAATCCCAACCCTAAGCTTGAACCTAGCCCTAACACTTACCCTAACCTACAATCTCACCTACAATCACATGCTCTAACCTTGACGAAAATTGAGTTGGCCTTAACAAATAGACCTAGCCCTCTTTACACTCAGTAACAGACATTATGATCCAAAGCCCATGCAGTCACATGACTCAATGTGACACCCCCCACCCCGACACATTTGTCTGGGATTACTAACTTTACGATTCTATAGAGAGAGAGAAATGGGGTTTAACGTCCACTCGACACAAACAAGGTCATTTCGGGACTAACATATATATATGTGAAATTTTATTTCAATAATTCGCTTGTGCGTAGGAGTCTTTAGCAGTGGGAGGAAACCAGACGACCCGGAGAAAACCTACGAGGTTGGACAGGTGACACTACTCCTTGTCACGTACAACCAAGGAATCGAAACCATGCCAGTTGACTCGATGACAGACCGTATGATACAGCTCGCGCATGCTAAACATTCGGCCATCCAACCCCCCACAATTATATAGAATAAAATTTACCTGTGTCTGTAAATCATGACATCTTTTACCAATTTGTTTGTTTTTAGTTTTTTCAGATTCAAGTTCCGATGTCAATTCTCGAACTTTTTTGGATAATTCAACAATCTTTGTAGCTGCAGTTTCATTTGTTATCTCTACGCCTAAAAAAAGAAATATTTTCGATAATTACATCAAAAAAAATCTTAACACTTCTTTCGTTTTGTCATTTTAATTTTCATTTTAATTATGAAAAACTCAATAGCGTGAAAATCGTGAAACTCAGATATTGTCCAAGAATACAAACCTCGATTGGTGGGTTTAATAAAAAAAAAATCTGTGAAATGTCAGATTTGTTAATTGGTGACAAGTGTCAAAAATGTGCAATAAATAATTCATAGTCTTTCTACTTCAATGAAATTTTATTAGAACTGAACGTAACTGAATTTAAAAGTTTAGAAGGTAATGATTACAATTAAACAGAAAAGGTAAAAAATACCTGAACAGAGAAATGAATAAGCTTATAGGAAACTCATAACATTGGGCAGACGACACTACTTCCTGTCACGTACAAGCTTGGCATAGAAACTGCACCAATGATAGACATAAGTGTCTAAAGCCTATGTGTTTGACCGTTTGCCGCTCCCCCACCCCACCCGTTTTAAATATAGAATTGATTATTCACCAGATAACGCTGATTTCTCCTCAATCTTCTTCTTCTTCAATTGTTTTATTTCAAATTCTCTTTCACTTAACAATTTATAACATCGACCATTTTCATCACGTAATTCCTACACAAAATAAATGATAACAATACCGGTATTCAATAAAATCAACAATAAAATCAAAAAGTGGTTTAAACAGGATTTTAAAAGAGATACAGTATCGCTTTGTCTGATAAAAAGTGAGAGTTTATTCTAGACTGAAAGTAAGTTTAAAATCTTAATAAAAGAAAACAAGTGTTGAGACAGAAACAAGAAAATGACGTGAAATGAAATGAAATGGGGTTTAACGTCCTACTGTCCTACTGTTCTACTCCGAGTCGGCTAATGAAGACAGGCGTACGCCATACAGTGTGCTATGAGGGACATTTTGCCTGGACAGCGGCACTATGACCTACTTTTATATCTAATTCCAACTGCCTAAGGGATCTTTTAAGTTCATGCCAATCTATACACAGGACCTTGCTTTTTTTATCCCATCCAAATGACTAGACAGCTGTCCTTTTCAGGCCCTCCGCCCTGCACCACTGACAAGGGGAAATGAAGAACTTTCTCGGCCAATGCACGCTAGCGAGCCAACGTCTTACCCGGATGAAGAAAGAAGAAACAGATGACATGTGTTATAACTTACTCGTATTTGGTTATTAAGATGTTCAACCAATTCCTCTGATATGTAATTACAACTATTGTTTTTCTCAATCTGAAAAATAATACAACCAGCTTTAATACCAGAATGGGATGGGATTTAATGGTATAATAATGGAATGTTTATTAATAGGATGGATTGGATGTGAGGTATATGATCAGGATTTTTATTACGATGGAATGGAAAGGGGGTTTAATGGCATATTATAGTAATTTTTGTTAAATTCTATAAATTGTTAAAGTCCAGCCCTTCATCAATCAAACAGATATCCAGTGATATATTGAGAGAGCGTTGAGAATTGATGTCCACTCAACTCAAACTAGGTCATTATGTGTTTTTCAGATTTTTAAACAGATATTGTACCATACAGAACCTCACATTAAAAAGTAAACGCAGGATGACTGCACCACACACAAACAACACAAGGCAAACCCGAGGATGTGACACACAATATACACTGACATTTCAAACAATAAAAAAAGAGAGAGAGAAAAATGGAGTTTAACGTCCACTCGACACAAACTAGGTAATTTCGGGACTAACATATGGTTAAATTTTTTATTTCAATAATTCGCTTGCACATAGGGGTCTTTAGCAGTGGGAGGAAACCGGAGGACCTGCAGGCAGAAAACCCACAAGGTTGGACAGGCGACCCTACTCCTTGTCAGGTACAACCCGGAATTCGAAACCACGCCAGTTGACGCAATGACAGACCATATGATACAGCGCACACGTGCTAATCAATCGGCCATCCAACCCCCCTCAAACAATATAAAACAAATGTATTTATCTAATAATAAAGTGAACATATCTGGAGGCTAGCTGCAAGCAAGTCCCGGGCCTGTAATGATACAGACTTCACTCAAAACAGGTAAATTGTAAAATATGTAATCTCACCTTTAAATCTAAATTGTCATCAATACCAAAAGATTTATTCTTAGTAGAATTATTTGAAGAGTTTTCCTTTTCTTCCTTCATTTGTTTTCGCCGGAGTAATTTCAATTGTTGTTGATCTTGTAAGAGTTTAAACTGCTGTTTTAACGTCTCGTCAGCCTCCATTTTCTCTCTAACCTTTATATATCTATAAAATTATAAGCAGCAACAGAAACATAGAATGGAGCCACTTTGAATAGTCTGTTAGTGTTAATCGCTTCTGGCTCTTTATACTCGCTGGAAAATTCCCAACCCACCTGGCCACCCCCACAGACAATGAAATTGTCTACAGGAAAAATTTACACCTCAACTGTTTAATAAAAGAACAATATGTCAATATATATTAATATAGGCCTATAGTGGCCTTATACAGCCAGAACTTGGCAAAACACCCAGGCATGGTCACTTGAATTAGAGAATGTGAGGTCATGGCTAGGCCCCATGAATACCCCCTGAGAATATCAAGTCTCTACGATCATGGGAACTGGTACGTTACTGAAATATAGTACCGAATTTTTTATATCGGTATTTCAACAGACTAGCCAACAAAACCTATCGCACATTAGGTCTACCGAGACTAGTAGTACTCGAGAATTGTAGTCTCTGTGTAGGTTTAAGAGGCAGTTTGATCATACGGGACAAATTAGTTTATTATTTATGAAGAACCAGACAGTGAAATAGTCATAGAATCATAGATCAAATTTACATTTTTACAAACAAAATTTCGAAAACGTTTGTTCTGCCTGCAATCGGAATAATTAGGCTATGTAATCGCTTTAAATCACTTCTAAAGGAATTCGTTCATCAATTCACGATAATCATTAATCAACTTACCACGCGATTAAAGAATACTAATTAGTCAAAATTCCATAAATATCACATAATATTCACTAGAAATATTTTACTCGACATAGCAACATAACAACTTCCGGTAGAAATAAAGATATAGTTATCCAGTCTCTTTAGTCGCGTTCATCAAGGGTTGAGATTATCGCCCTGGACAATAGTGAGTGCAGAAAGACGCGCTAGACACAGATAAAACCCGGGGACGTGACAAACCACATAGACATTTTACAAGCGATAAACAACATGTAGATAGTATGATTTTATTACTGAATAAAGCATTATTATTATTTTTTTTTTAAATTCTGTACGTTACACAATGTGATTAATTTAATTAAGTATACCGGGCTAGGAATCAACAATTCAACATTATTTATGATTGTAATGTTCAAAATCTACATATGGCAATATAATGTGTCTGTGCATACATGCAGTATATTAAGTTAAATGTGAGTTAATCGAGTCTAATTGCATATTGTAGGATAGTATCTAGTGTCTTGAAAATCGAGTCAGTTGCTTAGCAACCGAGCGGATGTTGTGAACATGTGCGATGAAAGTAAAGATGAAAGTGCGTGATGTGAGCTGGTGACAGCGTACTGTTTTCTACCGCAAGTTAACACGAGCAAAACGCTAAGATTATCTATGTATGTATCTATCAGAATATGACTTGTAACCAGTGAACCTTTGTGAAATAACTAATGTGATGGTGAATAAATAGTTGTTATGTTGCAGTTTCATATTTCTTATGGACACATCATGGGGTTTTATCAAAGCGGTGACGCGCGTATGTAACGATATGCTGAAAAGGGACTAGCTTAGATTTGTAGCGGTGTCATGTGAATAATTTAGTGGGGTGAACTTCATCGAACTAGTCTTCACCAGCTCGGCATCCACATAATCAAGTAGAAAACATCTGAAATTGACATTTCGATGAAAACATCGTGTTGTGCGACTTTCACTTTTGTGACATTAATTTGTGTTTTTCTGATGTCTGGAATGAAGAAACGTGAAGCGGGAAACATAACCCCTCCTCCGCCTGTCTTGGAGCCACACATAGAAATTGTAAGTACAAATTCTAGTCGTGAAACTGTCTCGGATCCTGGATTGATTTCCGATGATGTGATACAAAATGACATTGAAGTAACTGAGAATGACGACAGGCCGACTGGCCTGCACGGGGCCGGTATTCATGACGAACAAGTGACAGCAGCACGTGCGCCACATGGGGCCGGTACTATGTCTATGGTTGATGATAAACCCACTGTGAATCCCGAAGATAGTATCTCGAATATTAGTAGTAAAGGGAGTAAAATTTCTTCAGCCTCTAGAGCCAAAATGCGTGCAATTAAACTAAAAGAGGAATTGTTTGCTTTGGAAGAGTCCAATCAACTAGAAAAACAAAAACTTGAAATGCAACGAGCCATGGAAGGAGCCATGGAAGAAATCAACAGAAAACAAAAAGAAATACGTCTGCGAGCACAACTTAAAGCAGCAACAGAAATAGCAACAGTGTTAGAAAATAAAAGTAGAGTGTCAGATTCAGAACTAACATTGAAACAAAAACCTATAATTCCTGAACATTCTCCCAGCAGTGTTTCTAATCATGTGACTGAACCTGAAAGTTGTGTGAATATTGAACCGGAAATCCCTGTGAGTTCTGATAGTTGCCCTAAAACGGCTGTGAATAATGTTGACATATCCGATATATTGGCTAAACTTGTTGAAAATCAGAGGGACCAAGTACTTCCTAGTCAGGAATTACATTATTTTGATGGAACTGATGTGTTATCTTATCAAACATTTGTGAAGAATTTTCAATTTATTATTGAACGGAACACTAGTGACCCTGCCAGACTTTTAGAATTTATGTTAAAATACACAAAGGGTGAAGCACACGAACTGATCAAATTCTGCCCTTTGATAGAACCGCCTGTTGATGCGTATCGTGAAGCAAGAAGACTGTTAGACAGGGACTATGGTAATTCGCAACTCATAGCCTCTGCATTTGCATCAAAAGCTGAACATTGGTCGAAAATTCAGAATGGTGATAAAGTGGGGTTAAGAAAGTTTTCAATATTCTTAACCAATTGTGTTAATTCAAAACAAAATAATAAAGACATGAACTTTCTTGATGGTTTTGAATTTATTAAGACATTGTGTAGTAAACTGCCTATAGCCATACAACAAAAGTGGATTTCGGAAGTTGGTCGACTCCGTGAAAAGGAGAATCGTTCTCCTACTTTAATTGACTTTGAAAACTTTGTGGGTGTTTTATCAAGGAACGAGAACGATCCGAGAGTTAGTGGATTGGGTTACCAACAGAGATCAAATTATCAGTCATTCAGCGTTCAACCAAAAATCCCACAAAGGAGAGTGAACGCAACAAACATTCAACCTGTGGTACAACATGGTACGAAACGTGAAAATCTAGCAGCAAAGTCGCCATGCCTTTATTGTGGACAGCAAACGTATCATTCTTTATTGCAGTGTAGACGATTTGCTGGAATCACTCAATCTGATCGTGATATGTCAGTAAGAAAACTTGGTTTGTGTTATGCATGCCTAAATCCTGGTCATATGAAGGATACATGTCCAAATCCTGAATGGTCAAAATGTGACAAGTGTACGAGAACTCACCAAACTGTTATGCATGATCCTGCAAGGGACAGGAAAAACTTTAATAATAATAGTGAAACCAGTGTCAAGAAAAGTATTGATAATACGAACTACAAAATAACTTCAGGTTGTGTTAAAGCTGAAATTATGGGTGGAAACCCTTTAATGGCAATTGTTCCTATCTGCCTAAAACCAAAAGTGAATGACGATATAGTTTCAACCTATGCCTTCGTAGATAATGGCTCGGGTGTGTTATTTTTTAACAATGAGATTTCATATCATCTGAAACTCAGATGTAAACAAACTCAAGTTGTGTTAAAAACCATTAATTTGGAAGAGACTATAAACACTAGTATAGTGACTGATCTTGTACAAGTTAGTGATGTTTGTGGTAAAGCATTTTATGATTTGCCTCCAGCGTACATAAGGGATGAAATTCCAGTTACTATAAAGGATGCACCTCAACAGTCCGATATCAATAAATGGGAACATTTTAAGGACATTAAATTACCTGATTTGGGTGGTAACTGTATACCCAAAGTGACAGTGATGATTGGTGTGAACTTTCCATTGGCGACACAGCCACTCGAGATTCGTACAGGCAACCTCGGTGAACCGTATGCTGTAAGATCACCTTTGGGTTGGTTGTTCTACGGTCTTAACGGGAAATTTGAAAATCATATTAGTGTTAATTATTGTCATGTTGACCATAATTTAGAGCTACAAGTTAAAAGGTACTTTAATCTCGAATTCGGTGAAAGGCTATGTGATGACCGACAATTCATGTCAGTAGAAGATAAACGTTTCATCAATATTATGGACAATTCTATAAAATTAAAAGATGGACATTATGAAACCAATCTGCCTTTAAGAAATCGTGATGTTGTGATGCCAAATAACAGGCTTCAAGCCGAAGTGTTCGCTTATAAACTGAGAAAGAGATTAAGTGTCAATGAATTTCTTCATAAACAATATACCGATTTCATGAATAATTTAGAATCGAAAAACTATGCCGAAAAAGTGCCAAAAGGTGAATTGGTGAAACTAGATGGTAAAGTATGGTATTTAAATCATCATAATGTTGTGCATCCAAGAAAACCCAATAAGGTGAGAGTGGTATTTAACTGCCCTTTGATGTATGATAATACATCTCTCAATGAACAATTATTGTCAGGCCCTGACTTGACAAATAAATTACTCGGTGTGCTTTTAAGATGGCGACAAGACTATTTTGCTGTCATGAGCGATATAGAGAGCATGTTTTATCAAGTCAGAGTTAGTAAATCTGATGTAGACTTTATGAGATTTTTATGGTGGCCAAAAGGGGACATAAATCAAGCATTAACTGAATATCGTATGTTAGTCCATTTATTTGGAGCTGTCAGTTCTCCGAGCTGTTCCAATTTCGCTCTCAAACGTGTAGCAAGCGACAATATAGGTAAAGTAGATCAAAGTGTCATTGACTCAATCAACAATGATTTTTACGTGGATGACTTTTTAAAATCGTTGCCGAGTGAACCTGAAGCCATTTCCTTAGTGAAAGATATTCGTACTGTATTAAGATCCGGTGGTTTTAATTTGACAAAATGGGTCAGTAACAGTCGCAATTTGATGAAAACTATCCCGGCATCTGATAGAGTTGATGAAACCAAAAACTTGGATTTCGACAATATCAATGACAATTTACCAGTGCAACGTGCATTGGGTGTGAAATGGGGTGTCGAAGACGATAAAATTGAATTTAGTGTGAGCTCTATGAATCCAAAAGCAACTCGTCGTAACATTTTATCGGTTATGAGTTCTGTGTACGACCCGTTTGGGTTCGCTTCTCCGTTCGTTCTCCGTGCTAAGTTAATCATTCAAGACTTATGTCGCGAAAAACTTGGTTGGGATCAAGAAATACCAGAAAAACATGAACGCGATTGGAGAAACTGGGTAAATGATTTACCGAACTTAGAAAACGTGTCAATTGATCGCTGTTTAAAGCCGAAGTCTTTTGGTAATATTGTGAATACACAATTGCATCATTTCGCAGATTCATCGCAAAATGCATACGCAATGGTTACTTATGTAAGATTTGAAAGTGACCGTGGTGAAGTACATGTGTCATTTGTGATAGGGAGATCACGTGTTGCGCCTATTAAACCGCACACAATTGTAAAGTTGGAATTATCAGCTGCTACGTCAGTTGTAAGAATTAACAATATGTTGAATACGGAATTGACTATACCAGTGAACCAAGTGTACTTCTGGACAGACAGCCAGACGGTACTGAAGTATATCGCGAATGAGAAAGCGCGTTATCAGGTGTTCGTGTCTAATCGCTTAGCAGTAATACGTGATGGATCGGAAATTGATCAATGGAGGTATGTTCCGTCTAAGCAGAACCCCGCTGATCATGCCTCTCGAGGTCTTAGTGCAGATGCCCTTAAATCTGTCAACTGGATAACGGGTCCAGGTTTTCTGTATGAG